GATGTTGGAATCCTGCTGATAGAGTAAACAAATAAATGGAGTGTCTACTTGAATATGGGCATCAACTGAAAATAACGTTTATATATATATATATATATATGTGTATGCATATATACATATGTATGTGTATATGTATGTATGTATGCATGTATGTATTTATGTATAAGTATTTATGTATTTATCTATGTATATATATATATATGTATGTTTATATGTGTGTATATATATATATATATATATATATATATGTGTGTGTATGTATGTATATCTTTATGTATATGTATTTATGGGCGCATGACTGAGTGGCTAGAATGTTCACTTTCTGACCATGAGACCTGGACTTTCTGATGTTATCGACCTGGAGGGGGCGAGCTTAGCATGCAGCACCTTTGGAAAGTGCCTGAAAACCATACCACTGGTTGACCCTAGCATGGTGAATGAAATTGGGTAAATGTAACTCTTGGGGGCCGTCAATAGCTGTGCTAGCCTGAAGTCACAAGTCATCGTAACTGAGGGTTTAAGTGTGTGTATGAATCGTCTTCTTCTCCCTCCAGCTATGGGTAAATAGCAGGACAGACTAGGTTCTATAGCCTTGGATGGCAACTGGTCTAGGAGAAGGACAACTCTGAATTCAAAACCTGCAAGGTGGGATTGAGGACCTTGTGGCACGTAGTGCACCAGGTCTCTGTATTCGGCGCTTCAAAAAAGTGTGGATGGTCCTGCACGAAACCTTCACCACTATAATCAAATCTCATGTGCTGTTGTTGGGCTGTCGGTTTCCTAGGAACTGATCTGCTTGACCCTCATACGTCAAATTTGATGGGAGAGTCAAGTATATATATATATATATATATATAAAAATGATGTTGTTATGCAAGTCAATGCTCTCACAATCAGATTGGTATTAAGCATCCAATGTTGGTAAAATTTTCTGGATATGCATCTATATAATAAATGCAAAAATGTCTGTGCATGTCCCATTTTTTCAATTAAAGGGACATAACTCTCTAACTTTTAAATACCTCATCTTCTATATAAATAAACGTCAGTGTGTTACTTTTTTTCAACATTACTCCTAGAGGTCGTAGCCCAACATATTATACCATTTCGGAATCAGGCTGACTCCATGAACAAATTAAAAATATTCCAAGCCGGATCTGGACTTGCAATCCTGAAATTTTGGATACTCAAGTTTTCATTACAGTGATTGTTTTTGGTAATTTTTGTTTTTGATGGTTTGCAACAATTTTTTTTTTGTATGAAGATAATTTTTATAACTTGGAAATAAATTTGTGAATAATCAAAATTAATTGCAAAATCCGGTGGAAGTCACCCATGAAGTAAAAGTAATTCTTTGTATGGAAAGTAAGGACCTATGTACAACAAATTGTCTTTAAATTAAAATGGTGACAGAAGGTAAGCTTAAATATTAATGCAATACTTAAATGCAGCAATCAATTTTGAGTTCTTCTGTAATTTATTGTTGCCTATTGTATACGGCAGCAGTATGTCTCACAAAAAGAAATCTTCACCAACAGAGGACCAGATTGTAATCAAAAGAGCCAAGGCTGCAGTGAGGAAAAGAAAGTCTTGTGCAAATGAAAATCCAGATCAAATGGCAGCCAGAAGAGCTTCCAATGTTGAGAATATGCAAAGACTTAGGGACTCTCAAACTCCTGAACAAACTGAAGTCCTAATCAAGTGCCCTCTGCATGAACTAACTTTAATGGCACCTGATAGGGCAGCTTTTAAGTTAGTATATACATATATGTGCCATATATCTTGTGAATTTCAATTTGGAATTTCTATCTTATATCTCGCAAATATTACAAAAAATGTAAAAAATATTGATAATGACTTGTTTTGTGAATGACTGTTTATATCCTACAAACATAGTGTTATTTAAATTTTTAGTTATAAATAATTTCAAAAGATACCAGCCATAGAAACATATCATAGAATAAAAATGTCCCAAATACTTGTATAAATTATTATTTTACAATTAAATATGGACTCTTTAACATTCTATAACCTTCATCTGTCTTTCAACCATTGATTTTTGTTAACTTTTCTACTGTTTCAGCTTTAATATTACTTGCAGCAGTTTTAATGGCTTCTCACTGTTCTTTATTTTAATATTTTTTCATTCTCATATTCGTATCTTTTAATGTTGGACCACAAGATTTTGATTGAATTAATATCTGGTGAAGTCAAGTTCCAATTCCATTAATTTGGTGTCTTTGAAAATATTTTTTCAGAATTTGAAAGAGAATTGCCTCCCCTGAGTATACTCTTCAGCTTAAAGCTTCTTGAATATGAAATGTTCTTAAAAATGTCTGTTCTAAGAACTTACAATAATTTTGTGCCTTTATTTTTAAGTTTTGATGTTTTACTGCCTACAATACTAGCCCAAAATATTACACCAACTTCTTATTGTCTTCAAATATGTGTTCCCTGAATATTTCTATGAAGCTCTCAAACTATATTCTAGCCATCAAAT